AGACCAATTTAGCTCATTGAAGTGGTCTGGCTGCAGTGTCCCAGGTTCCTTAACCATGAAAAAGTAATTATTGCAGTTTTTGATTAGCTGGGTTAACTTGATCTCTAGAGGAGCTTCAAATTGGTGTTTTATAGTGTTATGTGGTCGACAAATTGTTCCTGTATTTTTAGAGCTGCAGTGGTGGTAGGGAATAATCTTTACTACAGTGGAGTGGGCATAGTGCATGCAGTTGTGTGTTTTTCTTTCCTGTTGCTGTTTCAAAGCAGTGGTGTACGCGTATGTAGTGTCTGCATTTAAATGTTTTTGTATGTATTGTTGGCGTTTGATTGCAGGCGTGTGTTTATGTCTGGTTTTGGTATTTCAGTGCAGAGTGTATTTTTATGCAGTGTTGGCATTTAGAATGCAGGAGTGTGTTTATATGTAGTGTTGGTGTTTGAATACTGGGAGGTACCCTTGATAAAGGCAGCCAGTTGGTGCCGAAACGTTGGGGGGTTTGGTGACTCGTGTTTCTGTCTTGAGGCTTGTAAGAATTTTTGTGGTAATTTGTTATTTTATTGTATTTGCCCTTGCTTCTGTCACTTTGTTTATTTTTTCTTATAGGTTTTCACTCTGGTACTTTTTTGTACATGATAAAGCTAAGTTTTTTGAGATTGTTATAGTGTACATTCTATATTCTATATACATTTGAATATTTAAAGCACTTGAAGGAGTGTTTATATGATTTGCACCTGGCTGTTCTTATACTATTTTGTCTCTCCATGTTCTGTTGTTTTGTGAATACTGGGATGTATGCACATACACTGCCACACAAATACATACACGCACATAGACACACTGAAATACACAGATACACATAGATGCACACTGACACATACACACGCTGAGATACCCACTGACACACACAGATACACATACTGACAAAGCTAAACACAGACTGTCACATGCATACACAGATACACTGTGATGCGCTGTGGTTTCACATCTAAGAGGGGGCACTGTTGAAAGACCACAGCGTCTGGCAGGGCCCCTGATCAAAGGTGGTCATCAGCTAGCCTTAAGTGCGTTGGCCATCTGATGGGCCCCCCTCAGTTTGCAGGCACCAGTGTAGTGGCAAAGGCTACACCAAGTTAGTTCCACTGCTTCCCAGTGTCCCTAACAATCCTAACCTCAATATCTCCTTATTTTCCCCCAACTGTAAGCTTCCGTAACTCTAAAACTTCCTTTCCATATGCTCTCCCAAACACTAGGGTCTCCCCAAACATAACTAAACCATTTACATCCCTTACCATAAATATCTTTGTAACCCAGAGTCTCTCTAACCCCACTGGTGGGTTTCCACGGAGAACAATTCCCCAACATTGAATGTAAAACGAACCATTGTCAACTTGTCAAATGTAAATAACAGAAATACAGCTCAGTAAACTCTGGAAAATGCTGGAAATCTATGCTAGTGGGGTCTTGATGTATCCATGGAATGTAGCTTAACACGAGTGTTAACATGTTTCATTATTGACATACATCCTGTTCATAGATTTCACAAATAAAATATGTGACGAACAGTGTTTGTGTAAAATATGCAGGAAATATCTACACATTTAGTGAGGAGTCAGTTGTAAAAGGAACAACAAAGGTCTACAAATATATTAAATTGAAACAATATTTCTAATAAATTAAAACCCTGTCATTTTGTTTGGCTTTTAATTTTCCTTTCCTTGTGACGTCTTTATCTTAATGATTATACTAATTCCCTTACCGTTTGCCTTTATTTATATTATCTTTTCTTCCTTGTCTTTTGTTCTCATTTGCCTATGATATCTGCTGTTGCCCTTTTGAGATTGATTTTGCTGAACTATTAAAATTGATTGGTAATTGAAGCAGAACCTTGCTTTAAGCTCTGCCTATTGTCAACTTTTATCAACTTGACTGCTATACATATAAGGAAAACTAGCCCCTACTTTTACTTGTGTGATTTCTAAAAAAAACTAGAATTCTCCAAAAAAAAAAAGATTTTGACACAGAGAGCTATATAGAAGCTTAAATTACAAACAAACATATATATATATATATAAAATATTTTACCAGGATGGAGACATTGAGATTTCTCTCGTTTTCTTGCGTCCACAAAACATTGCATTGTTACAATAGGATACAATATTACAAAAATACAATATACAAACTATATATATATATACATACACAAATTTAATACATAACAGGTAATAAATATATTCAACGATGACAGGTGCATTCTGTGCTGAGGAATATTGCTATAGATCTCTTAAAAGACTATATATATATATACACACACACAGTGACAAACATTATTATTATTTTATTATTTCAATGTTAAATTTTTTTTTGTATATTAGCCACCTTGCAATTTCCCATTTGTAAACTGTAAGAGATATCTATTAAAAGAGAGGTGAGATGGGTGGTGGAGTCTAACTATTGACTCCATGACTCCAACTGTTTTTTTTAGAACAAATTAGTGGTTTTGATGTCCGATGATGTACAATGTGCACGATGATTCAAAAGAAATTTAAGTAGAATTATTTTATGTAATTTAAAAAACAATCTAGCAACAAAAGTTATAGATTGTTTATAAAATGTCATAAAAAGCAAAATCATTTTTGAGTGCAAAGCCAATGGAATAGTTTAAAAAAACAAAACAATAACGCTTTGTTTTACAAGGCATATAAGGCTACAGTTAAGTTTTTTTACAGCTAATTTGCTTACACCATGTACTGTTCCTTCAGTGATGAAAGGTGTCTCTATTTCCTGAAGTATTATAATTGAACATGAAAAACAATAGTTGCATAGAGGTGATAATTCCAATCAGAAGATTCATTCATAAGCCCTCAGGCCAGTTATATCAAAAATGAAGTAAACTTTCAAGAACAAAAAAAAGAACCCAGAAGAACAGTTTCATATAAATTAGGTCATAGTAACCATGGAAACATTTCTTTAACATCAGTGAAGTGGAACCTTTTTATTAATACATCAGTTTGGAGATATCTAGAGGACATGCATACGCAAAGCAGCAAGATACAGGAAAAATATGTGTGTGTGGATATCTGTCTATATTTAGTTATATACGGAGAGTGGGATCAGTAACCGTATTATGAACATATTTGGTCATCATATAACTAGCAGGCAAATGCACGAGTACATTCACACACTGTTCCCCTTGAGCATTCATGCGTGTATCCGCTTTACTTGGAGCATATTTCTAATACTTGGGAGGACCTTATTTGTCCAATGATCGGCATTAAATATTAATTTCTTTAAGACTGTTAACATAATAGCGTCATGCTCTTGCTGTGGATTTTTCAGTTGCACGTTTGTGTTGGGAATCTCCCATTACATGATATACCAAAGTTTCTCTATTGGATTGAGATCTAGTGACTATGGAGGCCAGATGAGTACTTTACTTGTTGTCCTGTTTGTGGGGCCAACTTGAGATGGTGGGGGTTACTGCTTTCTTACATGGTGTGTTCTCCTTATAGATGTTGCTGTTACAAAATGGGCTCCATGAGGGGTACATATGGTGTACTACAATACTCAGGTAGGCTGCATCATTTGAATAAGTCTCATTTATTATTAAAAGGCTAAATGTGTGCCAAAATAAATTTTTCTCCCACATTTACACTACCAGCCTGATCCATTCACAAAACAGGAATGTGCTAAATGCTGACCCTACTATATGGATATTGGAGCAGAAACCAGAACAGTAGACATGTTCCCAGTGTTCTATTGTTCCGTTTAGTGTTCCTTTGCCCACTAACCTCAGTTTACAGCTGATCGTAGTGCTACCAAGCTGGTCTTCTGATGCAGGAGGCAGTTTTAAGGATTCTGGACTATTTTCATAATCTCCATGTGGTGACATTTTACCATAATGATGGCTTTTTTTTTGTAGATCACTTTTCTATGAAATAGTGAACCCAACAAATAGTAGCTACTAATCTGTCCTAATATAGAAGTGTTATGGAAAATGAAAGGGACAATATGATTGGCTGGGAAATTCCAGCTAATCACTAAGCCTTGCATTTTTGTTACAGTCAGCAGACTATCCACCATCTAATTATTCTGTAATCTTGTAGTGATGAATAATGTTTTTCCTTTATTTTTGTTTTCTAAAAGCCATTTTCAAAATTTTTTAACAATGTGGTTTAGTATAACTTAATACAGTGCTATTGTCAAAGCATGTACAAACACAAATTCATAAAACTCATAGACATTGTTCTGAAGATGTTCCTTGGTCTTTATATCTGTCTATGACATTTGAACATTTAAAAAAAAAATAATATCAATATATTTAAAAGTTGGAAGAGTTTTTTTATCCTCATAAGTAATTATTTTTGACATTTAAATTTTTCTGTTCTGTACAATGGTTTTGCATCCCACGCAATTTTTCACTAAGGTTATGTAAAGACCATGATCATTTGACTTAATTTGGTAAATGTATTTGCAACAAAAAATACTCTAAGAGACCTACGCAGTGTCAAATGTTATTTATAATTCAGCATTATATTTGCATATTTCTGACTCATACATACTCAAATAATATTTTTCAGCTATTTAGATCATTAGAAAATCATCTGATACTGGCAGCCAAGATGGCCGGACGTGCATTCTGAGTGCTTCTGCATACATGCCTCCTAAATAAGTTTTTTTTTTGTGCACAATCACCCTGCCTGAAGTATCACCCAAGCTTTGGATTGCCAGATACCGAGTGGGAATCCGTGGAGATGCAATTTTAGCTGTTCAGCTGCCTTCTAATACTGCTTGCACAAGCGACCTAGTCAGCCTGCTGACCGGGGGACACCAATGTACCGATGGGGGATATCCCGGTCTGTACTGGAGGCACTCACTGCTTCCTTGCAGCAGAAACTCCAGGTGAACTGAACACCGCATAGCATGTCCATCCAAGATGGCCACTACACTCCAACATAATCCCCTACCGGAGAGCTCATCACTCCAGACCTGGAGAGAAAGATTTGATGCCCGCTTTGAACAGCTGTGTCAGGAGTTTTGGAGGACAAATCCAGAGCAGAAGCCCTGAAGCTACCATGCCTGTGGAGTCTTGGACCCAAACTACCGCACCACAGGACCGACTCCACTCTGGGCTGGGAACCCAAGTGAAGGCACTATCTACCAATCGCCAGATCACACAACGGTTCTTCGTAAGCCAAAGCTTTCACGGACCCGCAAATCTGCTGCACACAGCAGGAAGATCTCTAGAGAAGCTGATAAGGCTCCTTTTAAAGCATGGGATTTCGGAGCTGCAGAGTGCAGGCGCAGCCCACCACATATGACAGGTAAACATGAAGCCTGTCTGGAAGCAGAGCACATCATGGGGGAATATAACGATACCAGTCCAGACATGGTTGCAGACTGTCTTCAAAAAAATAGGGATATAGACCAGCCAGGTGTAGTGTATGTACAATAAATGCAAAACTATAATTACCCTTTTTAAATGTAAGGTATATCAAAGGATTCCTCTCAATCCTCAAATACAAGTAGCAAAAAAACAAGATATACCTAAGGATATAAAACGGAGAAAGAAAAACTCATAGGGTAATAACGTAAATTGTAAAAGCCTCAGAATTCAAGGTTGCACTCACAGAGTAGCAGAAAATTCAGGCTGGTCAATAATATGTAGATTTCAACAGATCCAGCAGCAGGGCCGGACTGGCCCACCGGGATACCGGGAAATTTCCCGGTGGGCCGTCGGCACCTGGGGCCGGGCAGCCAGCTGGCTCACCTGCGGCCGCAGAGGGAGCTCCTTTGGCGGCCGCAGGGTTTGCTGGCTGTTCTTGCGGCCGCAGGGGGAGCTGGCTGTTGTGTCTCTGCTCCCCCTCCCCAGCGCACTACAAAGAGACCGGGGCCGGAAGATGACGTCATATTCCGGCCCCGGTCTCATTAAGCGGCACGCTGGGGAGGGGGAGCAGAGACAGAACAGCCAGCTAGCCAGCAAACCCTGCGGCCGCCAAAGGAGCTCCCTCTGCGGCCGCCAGCCGCCAGTCCCCACAGGTAGAAATTGTGTATGTGTGTGTGTGTTTCATTTGTGTGTGTGTGTCTGTCTGTCATGGAGTGTGTGTGTGTCTGTGTCATGGTGTGTGAGTGTCTGTATGTGTCAGCAATGTGTGTCTGTGTCATTGTTTGTGTCTCTGTGTCCTGGTGTGTGTGTCACTGTCTGTCATGGTGTGTGTGTGTGTCTGTGTCATTGTGTGTGTCTCTGTGTCATGGTGTGTGTGTCACTGTCTGTCATGGTGTGTGCGTCTGTGTCATGCAATGTGTGTCTGTCATTGTGTGTGTGTGTCTGTGTGTGTCACGGTCTGTGTGTGTCATGGTGTGTGTGTGTGTGTTTGTCTGTGTCATGTAATGTGTGTCTGTCTGTCACGGTGTGTGTGTGTCTGTGTCACGGTCTCTCTGTGTCACGGTCTGTGTGTCACGGTCTGTCTGTGTCATGGTGTGTGTGTCTGTCTGTGTCATGGTCTGTGTGTGTCATGGTGTGTGTGTGTGTGTGTTTGTCTGTGTCATGTAATGTGTGTCTGTCTGTGTCACGGTGTTTGTGTGCCTGTGTCACGGTCTCTCTGTGTCGTGGTGTGTGTGTCTGTGTGTCACGGTCTGTCTGTGTTATGGTGTGTGTGTGTGTCACGGTGTGTGTGTCTTTTTTAAGGTGTGTGTCTGTCATGGTGTGTGTGTGTGTGTCTGTCTGTGTCATGTTGTGTCTGTCATGGTGTGTGTGTGTTTCTGTTTGTGTCACGGTCTGTCTGTGTCACGGTCTGTTTGTGTCATGGTATGTGTGTGTGTATGTGTGTTTTTACTCACTTTTTTTTCCCCACGTCATGCTGGTCTCCCCTCGCCCTGCCTCTACGGCTGAGATCATCAAGCTTGATGATCTCAGCCAATCCGCACTGACACAGGAAGCACCTCTAGTGACCGTCTGAGTGTCTGTCACTAGGAAGCAATGTAAACACTGCCTTTTCTCTTAAAAGTCAGTGTTTACATTGAAAAGCCTGCAGGGACAGGCTATAGACACCAATACCACTACATTAAGCTGTGTGTGTGTGCGCACGCTTGCTTGTGTGTGTGTGTGTGTGTGTGTGCCTGCTACTGAGTGAGCTTGTGTTTTTATGTCAATAACCTTATCTATGAAGCTGTGTATCAATCCGCTTGTGTCAGTGAGATTGTCTGTGTATGCATGTGAGTATGCTTACTGTATAATTAAAAATTTTACTCTGAAAGGACCAATATTTTATATTGGAAAAAGCTATATATATATATATATATATAATAATATTGCCAGAGATAGCACTCCAAGGACTAATATAAAATATAACTTTTATTACCTTCACTAAAACAACACAAGGTCAACGTTTCAGCTTGATCCCCTCAAGCTTTCGTCAGGAGATGTCCTGACGAAAGCTTGAGGGGATCAAGCTGAAACGTTGACCTTGTGTTGTTTTAGTGGAGGTAATAAAAGTTATATTTTATATTAGTCCTTGGAGTGCTATCTCTGGCAATATTTTTGCATTTTTGGCTGACAAGCACCGGGCATTGAATATTGAATTGGTGGAGTGCAAGATCCGTTTGGTTTTATACATAAATATATATATATATATATATATATCTATCTCAATCATCTAGGGTTGCAAGACATAGCCTTGCATATTACATGCGACAATATATGGCGCAATGACTTATGGGGCTGGCATAGATTTTTTTTCCAGGGCTGCTTTGGAATCCCCAGTCCGGCCCTGTCCAGCAGTGTTCAGATGTCCAATGATTCATGTAAAAAGAATTAAAAGGAACATAGTGCACCACTGATATAAAGTTGAAACACACGCTTTAATGGTTGCACTTACAAAATACAAGTAGGTAAAAAACCCATCAGTACAATCCTGTAGTCCCTGGTCCTGGTCTCAGTAATATAGGCTGTAGTAGTCTTCAAAGGTGCCGTGTGCAGGAATAACGAAACAATAAAAATGATAATCACAATAAAATTAAAATACTCACTCTACGCGTTTCATCTAATTACTTTAGACTTTATCAGGAGTAGTAAAAGTCCTAGATAGTGCATGAATTAAAGTGCCATGGTCAGTGTGGGAACCGGAAACTTCTTTTAAAAGTCCCCTTTTCATGCAGCAGATCGCTCTCGGCCAATCCTTCTGTTCCTTCACATCTGTTTTGGATCCGTTAATTTGCTTTATCCATATATGGAGTTGTCTTTGGAATACAAATGCGTTCCACCTACCCGGAAGTCGTGGATATCGATCCGCAATGGATGATGACGTGGGTGATGTGTACCTGGAATGCAAATGCGTTCCAAATCGTCCGTTCAGTCTACCCATATTGGTGATCGATGAATTATCACAGAAAGTACTCAGTGAAACATAGAGTCCCATATAACCACATAGGGAGTAATAAACTTAGAAAAAAAAAAAACAATTAGTAACCATACAGAATTTTTTTTGTTGTATCTATATATGAAATCCATAAATATAAATAATGTAAATATATATATAAACTTATGTAAAAACTCAACAAAGTGCATACTTCATTATACCAAGGTGTAAGGAGTGAATACAGAAAACACTGGAAGTGGGTCAACCACTAGAGGGGTACGTGGGGACACAGATCGAAAAAGGAAAAAATAAAATAAAGAAAAATACCAAAATCAAAAAAATCTATGTGTATGAAGTATAAAACTATAAAAATCAAATAATGAATAAGTAATCAAAAATAAGAAAAAATTATGAAAAAAAATATGAAAAAATTATGTGGGTGTGTGATGGTAGAAAGTGACATGCCTTGCAGTGTCTGCAAGTATAGAATCCCTTCCTAATATGAGTTCTCTTATTAGTACTCTTATCCCCTGAAAAGATTAGGTGTTATATAGGTTGAGAAATTGCTTCCTTTTCTATAGATGACCTTAGGGATATCTGGTAGTTCTCATTCCTGATATTCATCAGGTGTAACAATAGGCCAATGTTTCTTCAGGATACTATTGATGGAGCAAGCTTTAGAGTTATATAATCTTTTTGGGTTTGTCAATAAGGAGATCTCCTCTATTGATATCCCCTATTCTCTGTTTGTAGGTGTTCTTCCTTATACCCTTTCTCCAGGAATTTCTTGGTTAAAATCCCTGCTTGTTCAAAGTAAGTTTCTTGATCTGTACAGTTCCATCTAGTATATTAGGAACTCCTAAGAGCCATCTAGGGTGATGTCCACTACTAGACTCAATGAAGCTGTTCATGTCTGTTGGTTTGAAGAATGTCTTTGTTTTGAATTCAGAATCAACAGTAAAAATAGTCAAATCTAAAAAATTGTTAGAAATAGAATTAAAAACAGGAGTGAATACTAGTGAAAAAAACATTATTATTAAGGTAATGGAAGAAGTCTTTGTAATTGTTCATCAGATCCTTTCCAAATGAAAAGGATAGCATCGATATAGCGACGCCAGAGCATCAGGTTTGCACCATATGGATTATTTTCCCTAATGGATGTGCGCTCCCAACAATCCATAAATATATTCGTGTAACTAGGGGCAAACCTGGTGCCCATTGCATTGTCTAGATGTGAGAGAGTTGATCCCGCTAATAATGGGTCTGCCCGGTGGATTTTCCTTGGATTTATGTACTTTTGGAAGAAAGTAAAAGGTCAAGATTCTTGGAAATTCTTGATAGAAAAAAATGATAAACATTAGTATCAATGACATCAGTTCCTAAGGCTTTCTCCAATAAAATTCCTAGTTCACCTTTAAATTTTTGATTGGGATTGCTAGTGAGTTGGACATATGTGTCTGTGTCCCCCAACAGTCTACATGCCTCACCTAAATAATAATCTACAGACATGAGGAGTATACTCATGTCCTTTGTCTGTATTTTTAATGATTATGTCATCTCTCTCTTTTAGTTGGTTTTAAACTTGCATTTCCTTTCTGATCAAATTATTGCAGTATTCCCTTTTTTGAGTTAATTTGTCTAGATCTTTCAATACCATTTTATTAAAGATTTTAATTTGGCTGCCTTTGTCATAGGGGGGAAAAGAGGATCGTGGTTTAAATTGTTCAAAAGAATTCTGTTCATATGTTGAAATAATCTCAGTATCAATAGGATTTTCTAGCTTACTCTTAATGAAGAATATCTTTAGGCTAATTTTTCTGATTAACTTTTACATATCTATGTAGACAGCCACTAGAGGAGGAGTTAAACCTCAGAGGTAAATAATGCAGTTTCTCAGAAACTGCAATAATTACCACTGTAGGGTTAAGGCACATGACACATTGCACCCAGACCCCTTCAATGAG